CACACACACACACACACACACACACACACACACACACACACACACACACACACACACACATACACACATTCACACAGCACTCTGCTTGATCTCTACAAAACTAATCTAGATAAATCATTCTGTAGAGACTAATCTGTGATTTAGATCAGTGATTCCCAACCAGGGGTACGTGTACGCCTTGGGGTACGCAACCATATTAACAGGGGGTACATGGAAAATTTCCCAGGTGCATGAAAAAATAAATAAAAATGAGACTGGGATGTGTAGGTCCCTATGATTTCCGCAATGCGGAAATCACAGATTTGACACAAAATGGAATTCAGTATAAAATGCAGAGTCTCATGGAATTTGCTCATTTGGGTGAGTTTCTGATGTGTTTTGGATGCTGCTGCTTCCTGTACCAGCCGGTTCCTGGTTTACTTATTCACTTTCAAGGCAACGTTTTTATTTTTGTTTAATTTGAGTTGGAACAAATAAAATGAATTAAACATTCTAGGGGCACAAATAATTTTAATTTAAAAATCAGTTGTTGTACTTTATAGTTTTTGAGAACCATCATTACGTTTCACAGAGGGGGTACTTGTGGTATGACACAAGGGCTCAGGGGGAACACAAGTCTAAAACGGTTGGGAACCACTGATTTAGATCACATTCATACACTGATAGAACGTATATCAGAGGCACTGAACAGTTCAGTGTCTTGCCCATAGGCACTTCGACTTGCGAATGAACAGTGGGGGAACTGAACCCTCAACTCACTCATTGGAGGACGACTGCACTAACTGCTATGTGGAAAATGTGGAAAAAAGGGTTGGTGAAATTTCATCAAATGGGATTAATATCTGTAAACCTCCAGGCAACAGAATTAACAAACTATAGATTGATAAATTGTAGGATGGATTTGGGGGATTGGGGGGATGTTGTGCCCAGGTCCTACTGCAGGGAGGGGGCCCTCAAAAAGCCTAGCTAATATGCCTGGTAAAAGGACTTCGTACAAGGAGCAAACTGAGGCGATAGTTGCAACCTTGTACTCAGTACTCAGTATGCAGCTTCCTGAATAACCCTGTGGCTGCTGTGAAGTCCTTCAGGTTTCAGAAGACCCAGCAGAGACTGTACTGTCTCCACCAGCGGAGGAAAATCAATGTGGTTTTAAAGTTATCATCTCACAACACTTTGAAGGAGATTTTGTAACTGACTGACTAAATGTTAGATCCAGTTTTGTGGTTTTGCACTTTCTGATCATTGCAACCATAAGATTTAAAACAGAGAATGAGAGCTGGTGTGTCTTATCAAGACGTTCTGGTTGTAGCGTAAACAAAAGTAGGGTTTGTTCYAACATCTCACATAAAGTTACCACCTTCAGGGTTGTGTCCAGGAAGAGACATAATGTTATAATGCTGATTCATTATTATAGGAGATGGAGTTTAGAATGAGTTTTAGTTTTGTGAAGCTCTTCTTAGATTGAGCTTGAGACTATCTGTTTGCCTTTGCAAAGAGCCCAAGGCCTGACTGCTGCCTGTCCTGCCTTTGAGCTGAAAGGAGTCGGATTGGAAATAAAGCTTATTTAGAAGAGATCCAACTGGTTTTCTKCTAAACTACTCAGACTTCCATTTATTGATCACAAATTCCTTCAATAAATTGTACTGTATTTATTTGTTCATGTAGTGAGTATGAAGGGGATAAAAAGAAAGTGCAATCACTGTTTCTGCCCTGCACTATACTTTTTAACCTGTTGGAGCACCATGCACCAGAATTACAGTTTTTCTCAGTTGCTAAAACACATTTCTTGAAACCCATCCATCCATATCTCTAAACTGTAAACACAAAACCCAATTTTCAAACGACTTTCATAGAACCTCTGACTCGTCCAGCAAAACTGAACTCTAGCTTCAAAATAGTTCAAACTGTGCTCAAAACTGAACAATGTTGTCAAATCAGACCTCAAAGAAATCAAAAGAACAAACACTACAGAGCAGTCAGTACACACAACAGGGAAAAAAGAAAACACAATGATAAGATTGTGAAGCTTTTGAAATAATCTTTATTATCCACAAAGGAAAAGGCATTTCCTAAACAAAACACATGCATAGCACTTGTAGTAAAATAAATAAATAAATAAATAAATAAAT